GGAATGGAGTCTAATAAACATTTGCATTATGTATTGACCAGCATAAATTTAAATGAATTTCTGTTACTTATTTTTTAAGCTTTGAAATGGACTTGTAAATTTAAGAAATGTTAATAATATACTGTCTACACTTGAATAATACAAATGTTGAAGTAATATAATGAACTAAGTACATGGAAATTCCATAGCATTCTCAATTTAAATTCAATTGTCAATCTTAAAAAGCTGGATAAATGTGCTCCATACACTCACTTCAACTGAGAGCACAATTTAAACATTCCTTTATCACTGCAGTTAACAATTTACTTTTCCAGACCCTGAATAAATCACTCAGGAATCACTCAGGCAAATGTAGAGCCAAAATTCACAAGCTTCCAAAGAGTGATGCTGCTTGTAGCAAACAAAGCCTTATGCATTTGTTTTCCAAATTCTAGATGCCAAAAGAATTCGGGAAAAGTCTCTATTCATTCATCTTTATACTATAGTACCTTAATGCTTGAGTATAACTGTTTCTGAATACAACTGGTTTACTGTTAAAATTTTGAATAAACATTTAAGATATTTCACATAAATTATGTAGGATTTTTTTTTAAATTCCATTCATAATTCAAATAATATACTTACCTCCTTGCTGTCCTGTAAATAGAAAATATCATTTTATTAAAAATCATTAAAAGACAAAAAGCCCCCTACAAAACTGCTTGAAAACTTTAGACTTTGTCTTTTCTTAACAGACTTAACAAAATGAGTTGATCATACTTACGAAAAAAGGCACTAACCTCATTTTTACTAGATTGCACAGATTCATTTTCTCTGCAAGACTGAGAAGAGTCACTTAGCAACCTGTCAAAAACACAAACAAATCCCTCCAGCTCTTATTCAAGTTTTCAACAACTCTGGCAACTTTGCCAGTCAACTCATTTTAATCAATTCCCTCAAGTCTTCATTTGTACTACGCTATTCTCAGAATGAAGCTTGTTTTATTTCAGTGTGAGTGCACCTTTCAGATTTGACTCTTTTAAGTGAAGTATAATATGGTTTCAAATCCATAGCGCCTTATTATTTTTTAATGAACACAATTATTTTTCTTAACTATTCAAGTTGAGTCCTAGCAAGCTATTATCTTGTGTAAACTTTTTTCTAAAGCTACCAATAAAAAGCCATTTTAGAACTAAATTACAAATCTATCAGCATTTTAAATCTGAAAGATTTTTTAAGATACTATATCATTATGTGCATATAAAAATACCGTGTTTAATCAGAGTTGTCAAAATAAGCAAAACAGTAGCAAAATAAATCTTCTACTTGAACTCTGCATTTTGTATCTTCACAACTGGACATAAATTATTGTAATGCAATGAATAACTTATGTATCTAGAGTGAAAAAAAGGATAGGGTATAAGAAAAATCTGCAGATGTGTTTCTAAAAATGCAACGCATCACATACAAATTGTCTCTATAGTAGGTAAATCCTATAAAAGGCAGCTGGTTTCCCACGAAGGCTTTGGGGATTGGAAAGGTTTCCACGTCTCCCTTGTCGTCCTCAATGTCATCAAAATTACTGCTATCTATATCACTGCTAAGCTCAGGAACAACAGGAGCTGCAGCTATAAAAAGGGAGAAAAGATCAACTTCACTGCAAGATTCAGTCATTCGCTACATACTCATATCTCTATAATGTTAAAAAGACCGTAACATAAGTTGTCCTGCTAGTTAAATGTGTATTAACCATGCAGCAGATCTGCAAATATTACTGTGAACTTTTTTTTCCAGTGAAATATATTTTTACAGTTGTAGCCTAATACATGGAATATCTACTATGCAAAATACATTGCTAAGGTAATAATATTTGAGGATAGAACTCTAAATAGAATAGTAATTTTAAGAAACTTTACTAAATATATATATGACTTTAGAAGTTGCAATAAAGCTCATGATCTGAACTGATATACTTCTGTTTTTTGCCTAAAGCTATCAAGCTCACTGTACCTTAAATGAAAAGCAGCAGAACTGACAAGACCGCTGTCAAACTACTGCCTGAAATACAGAAGGTTAAAAAACCCAAGAAAACACAACAAACCAACAAAAGACACAAAGAAACAGAACCTAACATGCATTCTCTTTAGTTAAAATTCTGGAACATAAAGTTCCATTGCTCAAAATGGCAACCTATAAATTAAAAGCACGGTAAAGGTAAGGATAATTCCAGTAGGAAAACTGCGTATTTACTAATCCTTACTGATAGAGTTTTTATGATACAAATGACAAATATGGAAGTTTGAGCAAGATTCTTGAAAGATAGAAAATACTTAATCTGTAGAATTCAAAGTTTTTTTCATTTCTACTATTGCAAATACTGAATAAAATCAGAAGTCTTACACTAATTTACTTACTCTCACGAATGTTGTCCCAGTTCCACTGATCACTCTTGAAGAAAGGGTGATGCTTTATTTCTTCTACCCCATTTCTCCCAAGTCGAACATCCCTAAACACAGCAATTAAGCCAAATTCACATTAGGAAAAATAGCACTTGGTTTTTGTTATTTAAATACTGGTTTGCTCATAGGCAGCAAAGAAACTTCCAGTGAAGACTGTCTGTGTTAACCACATTAATGGCCAAATAAAAAAAATTTAAAACCACCAACCACTGATCTGTAGCTTCTCATACAAAACGCAGTCTGTTTCTTAGCATGCACTCTCCCTACGACTGCTAAAACGTCCAGAATCTGGAGTCTGCCACGTGTGGAGTAAAGCTAGAAAGAGCGCACAGAGGCAAAAACCAAGAAAAAACTAAAAACACAAACAAAAACCCAACACCCTCAGAGGGGGGGAAAAATGCAGAAGTTCCGTGTCTGCCAAACCACATGACAAACCTTGAGACGCAAGTGAAGGAAGGTCTAACTTACTGCACAGAACAGTTATTCATAGCTGGACTGAAATAAATATTTTAAGAATTCCATCCTGTGCCCCGCAACTAACCCTGACACATCGTTCGCTGATATTTGCAGTGAAGTAAATCTGCATTTGAAAAAGTGCAACAAGAAACTTTTAGTTTGACCAGAAGAGCCTCTCTTAAAACTATCTACAAGAACAGGACATAAAAAGAATGTGTAAAGCAACTAATAAATCATGGGGTTGATGCTTATTCCTTCTCTAAGTGCTTGAGCAGTGATCACGCATACGGAAAGAAGGCATCTGTTTCAAATAAATCGCTCGAGTGCTGTATTAAATATAAACAGGAAGACGGACACACGTAGTGGAAGTACACCTCGCCACACTGACATTATTGAATTCTACTCATATTTTTCTCTCCACCCTTCAGCTACTCCGGGTGAAAAACACTGTTAAAGCACATCCTTCCTGAGTAACCGTGATCTTGCTCAACAGAGCAGACAATCTCTCTCTTTGAATGTAAAATCTATTACAAGGCTTTTTTTTTTCCTAATCCCTCATTCGATAAAGGCCAGATGCTCTGCTGTAGCCAAGTTCAGGAGACCACAGGAAAGCATAAGAAGGCATCATCAATCCAGAGTTAACTATGGACCTACAGCATTAGTCTTTTAAATCAGAGAAATTTAAGATGATCTCTGATTTCTGGAACTAAAGAAAATACAGGTGTTCAGGTCAAGAACAAGTTTATAAAGCTTAGTATCAATAAACGGCACAGTTGCACACTGGGAAACCTCAAGGATCTACTTATAGACAAGATAATACCCTTGCTGGTTTGTTAGCTACACTTGTCAATTAATACAACAACAAAGCAAATGAAAAAAACTTCAAATATTCTAAGAAAGCTTAAACAAAGTCAGTAAAATACATGCTTATTTTCCCAAAAACATCCGCTTTCATTTTCTTAAGTAACACCTGCTTCGACACCGAGCACAACAATTTGGACTCTGCCTTGGAGCTTTCAAACTTACAGGTTTGTTACTGTATTATACACTGCAATTGCAAGGATTTGTCTGGCACAAACTATGCTGTTAACAAGAGCTGTCAGAATTGCTCATAGAAATAAATACAATACCTGGAAAAAACATGCCAAAAGAAAAACCAGAGAGCAGGAGATTGTGCAGAAATATGCAGATATGAAGAGAGTTTAGGAGAAGTAATGGAAGGAATTAATTTTTACAACATACCTGTGCTAATACCATCCAAAATAAAAAGAGTACTAGACTAATACATGCACTTACCTATCAGTTAAAAAGGCACAGATAAGGTTCTTTGCATGCTTAGAGATTTCCACATCATCCGGGAAGTGTAATGAGTTCTTATGATCCATAATTTTACTGTATGTTCCTACTAGTGAGTCTGCATAAAAAGGAGTATCACCTGAAAATAAAATAGTAAATTGACTGTAATTTTGAGTCATGTTCAAGAGATAAAAGACATAAAGAAAAGTTTACAAGCAAAAAATAGTATTTTATTTTAAAAAACAGTAAAACTGAAATGCAGGTTAGAAAATAATGTATATTACTAAAAATATTCCTTCCCTAAAATGCCTCCATTACAAACGAAACCATTTTCCATTCTGCATATCAATACCAAAATTTGTTCTACTTGAAGACTGTCACTGTGTTTTCTAATGTACATGATGGCTGACACTCACATAAATCCCCATCTTTAAGTGTTTCCATGGATACAATGGACCGAAACTTATGACAGATTTGCTAATACACCTTTGTGGGACAGAATCCACCCAAGCTCTCCAAAGAGCGATTCAGAGGCAGCAGGTCTACCCTGCCTACCCCTGGAGCTGCCTCAGGCAAGTCAGCTCTGAGCAGAAGCCTTTGCAGTGTGTTCCTGCACTGTTAAACCCATCCTAGTAAATCTTCTTGACTGATAAATTATATTAGCTTGGGTGCGCATATTAACATGGGCAGGTGGCTTTTAAAATCACAGACTTTTCTCACCCATAGGTTTGCAGCATAGGCTTTAGTTTAGTTTCTTTCCAAATATTCTTAAGAAAGGTAAAATTAGGACAACTGAAAAGAATCAGCACTAATAAAGGTAACTGACATTCAAGTTAACTGACAACATTTTGAATATACGAATGGTACGGGCCAGTAATCAAGAGGCTGAAACTTTTACATAAATCCTTTCTCACACCTCATCCACAGGTTTAACAGAGAAGGTGAACATCAATCACGAGAGCTGGGCTTTTTGCTCCGTCCTGGTGTGCTGTGTGCAGGCGGGGATGCCCTTTATGGCAAAGTAAGAAATCAGTACACACCAGCTTGAATTAAACTTCTGGACTCTCAGTGAATTCATTAGGTTGCCATGCCAGTACACTGGAGGGAGGATCACTGATATTTGCTGCTGCCTCCCTTTTTCTAAACCTTCCCCTTCTCAACTGTGCTCAGTCTCCGAAACAGCTTCTATTTAGCCCACACCTCAAAAATATCCTAAACCACGGAACCAATATTAGGATTCAACCCGTGACCAGAATTTTAGCTTTCAGTTAAGTGCAGACTAAAAAATAGTATTGTTTCCGTGAGTACTGCATCTTTACTAAAACCAGAACAACAGAACGCTTTCTGTGCTTTCTTTAAAGCATAATTAGAAGACCACAGAAAGAATCCGATACATAGACACAAACAAAATCAGATACTTTCTACCAGTGTGTGGGCTATAGAGAAATTAACTAAGAGTTAACTTTTAAAAAACGTTTTCATTAGAAGGACAGAAACAGGAGAATCCTCCCTATCTGATACAAGGGGAAAAAACTGGCTCGGAAAAAACATTCTGGACAGCTATGTCCAATATTTTAGTAACCAAATAATTTTATTTGTTGCTAAAATTGTTTATGAGAGACTATTAATTATAAAACACACTTTCTGTATGTCAAAATGCCTTAATTCTGAAAGAACAGAGCTTGTAACAGCATCATATATCCTGATGTCTTTCCTGGCTCATGATACTAGAAACATCAAATCTGCAATATTCCCAGAACATGCTGATTTGGATTTTTAATAATTACATGCTCAATTCCATCCTTCTATAATCATTATTTTGCTACCAGACTATAATACTGATCCTCACTGTATTTTAAGATGCAGATGACTCATCTCTTTAACAGATTATATTCTACGTCCGTTGCCATAGCAGTCCAGTATATTTTACTGGATAATCCTGACTCAAGCATAAAAGACAGAATCAAGCCATACTTCCAGTTATTCTGACCTAACAAAAGCCATTGCTAGTCCTGGGGAAAAAAAAATAGAGGGGAGATGAGGGGGGAAGGAGGCACGGGCAGGAATGGGGGACAACATGAAAGACGACAAAAAGGAAGAAAAAAAGAAAAAAAAGAAGACAAAAAGGGCAGTCATGCCCTCCTCACTCTTTTTCCCATCTCTGCACCCCTCAAAACCCAGTACTGCCCCTGAGGTGGCACAGGAATTCATGAGATGGTGAGGCAGCTGACCCCAGTTAAAACTCTACTAAGAATTAGTTTTAAGCTGAACCAAATCAGGGAGCTGATCACTGAGCAAGCACGCAAACAGCTGTCACAGCAGAAGAGTGACAACGAGGAAAGAACAGGGATGAAGCAGCAGCATCAGTCAAACGTCAGAAGCTGTTGGATGGCGAGGTCCCACCAGCCCCTGGCAGCAAAGTACAGCTAAAGGCACACTCAAGACTTAACGGTTACGTCATTAGCAGAAAAAAAATCCCTACTTACCAACCAGCATCTCAAAAAGGAAAACTCCTACAGACCACCAGTCGCATTCCCGTCCATAATAACCATCACCCCCCTGCGATTTCAGAACTTCAGGCGATATGTAGTCAGGGGTTCCCACGGCTGTATCGCAGCGCACCATCCCTGTCTGTG